GTAAGGGGTATCATGCCCAGTCACCTGCTAACACCCACCACTGCCTTCCTCCAGACATTTACTCAGACATTTCTCAAGACCTTACCAGAAGCTCATTCTTCAGGGGAGGAATCAGTCCTGACTCCACTGAAATATTTTCTAGAAGTAGTGTCAATGAGAAATCAAACCACATTTTTTGGCAGTTAATCAAGTTGTCCCATGAGTATTGTGACTGTAAATACTTGCCCCTGTGCTAGATGTGCTCCCTGGATGCTGGTTAGAGAAATGCTTCCTTAGCAAGAGACTGAGCCAGAGAACACCTGAGCATCTGCCATGCTCTCAGCCTCTGATGCCTTCAAGGACAACTAAACTCATCCCATCTTTATCTGCCTTCTGCAGGTCCTCTCCCTTCTTCAGGACCTGATATAATCCTGTGTAATGAGCACTCTTTGACACTCAGCAACTCACAACATGAGGGAGTATAAGGTGGGGAAGTATTATCTAACATCATGGCAGAGAGAAATTCTGCATTTTGCCCAAGATCACACAGAAGATCTGTTGTAGCACTCAGAAAAACATCCCAGAGAAGTAACTTTTTGTTAGGTATGGACTAATACATATGTCTTTAATGTTTATTATTTTCCCTGTTTTACTTATTGCTCTTCTTTCTCTGATTTACTCAAGACTTAATATTGATTTTGAACTGGGATGTTTTGTTAGCAGAAAGGTTTCTGGTTTATGGTTTGTGTTTGTCCCAGTTCCTCCCTTCTGGTAGTATGGGCTCTGGCAGCCCAGCTCCAGCACAGCTAGCAGTAGTTTTGTATATGATCAGTGCTTCTCATGGTCTTTTCTGCAGACACTAGTGTAGCATAAAATAGCACAAAAGGTTGTGTGTCTGCACCACAGTTCATAATCCAGCATTTTAGCACCAATGCATCCCCATCACTGCTGTAAGCTGTGAGCTGGGCCAGCTGAATTATAAACTAGGTCACCATCCCCTTCTCCAGTCCCCACCAGGCAGGTGGAAACATCTCAGGGAGAGGAAGATGCAGACAGAGGGGGGTGATGAACCATATCCTTCAGTGGCCAGGACCACCACTGCTCTTCTGAGAGCTGTGACCCAGGGCTGTGATCACTGCTGTGTGGGTACACACTGCACAAGGCCTTCACAAGCTGATTACCAATTATTCATGTTGTTAAAGCCAGTTTGGCACGGGCTAGTGACTCAATGAATATTACTGTGATTGGTTTTACAGCCTGCGTGGCTCAGGGATGGCTGCTGCAAGCACAGCCTGAGCCTCAGCAGAAGGTGGGTTGAGCACACCTGTGTTACATAAGAGCCACAACAATGCAGACATAACTTAATGTTGACATTTTCAACTGTGTAATTAGGTATGCCAGCAAATGAACAGCAGCAGTACTAAGCACTATTCTTTGTGAGCTTGGTGTGGGGTGTGTAAATATTTTGTCTCAGTTAAGGAAAAGAAATTAGGGAAAATAAATATTCCCAAGCACATTCTAGAGAAAGCTAGATAAAAGAACAAAGCGGAGTAAAAAGCAGATTTTATGAGGCAGTATTTACAAAGACCTTACATTACACCCCAACATTTTCATGGCTGAACTGCACAGAAACCCATTATATCTTCACCTGCAGGACACTATATTCTAGGAGGTGTGACTTTCAGAAATAGCATAGTTTTTTAAGTAAAAAGGAAAAAAATCAAAAAACTGCAGTGCTCTACTGTGGTGTGTTGGTCTCTTTCAGCAGAAATTGTTCTTTATTGTGGCAACTCTGATAATTAGCAATTTCCCACAGGAGGGAAGATTTTGCAAGCCTGTAAGATGTCCCCTTTCATTTAGAAGAGGAGAAATAGAAAAGTAAGGAGGAAGCAGAGAGAAGCAAGCTGGGAGAGAAGTGTGATTTATTGCTCTTCAACTGTAGACCTGTCAGTGATCCAAATCCTTAATCTTGTTCTGTGTGTACTTTTTCTCAGGAAATCCACTGGGCATTTCCTGTGTGTGTAATTCAGGTAAGTTGCTAGTATGGCTTTTTAATATCTCCTGGGCAGTGCACAAGACATGAAAAGACAGTATAGGGAATCAGGCATCAGAGTTTCTTCATATTAAATTAAATTAAACAGTATATCAGCTGGACCAGAAGAGCTTTTATAAAATGTATCAGGGATAGGGTAGGAATGAGGATGGACAGGCCTCTGCTCTGATTCTGTCACTGTGGCCCTCACACAGGCTACAGCTGTGCAGGAGCTGCCCAAATGTGATACCACCCAAGGGATTTCCATCTGTTCCAGGAGAACAGGAACACGATACCTCTCCCTCTCTTGCACCTTCCTTCTCCCTGTGTGGAGTGCAAGGAGCACGGTCTGTAATCTGTGTTCACTAGCAATTCCCTGGGAAACTGCCAGCTCCGAGGAGAAAGATGGATAGACTCTGTCCCTCCTGATGTGATACAATGAGCAAAGTACACTGCAGAAAAGCAGGAAGGCTGGGCCCAATCTCTGCCTAGGAAGACTTGGGAATTTCTGTGATTGCTTTAGAACCCTTGAATGAAAGGCACTACCCAAAGGTAGCCCCCGGTATCAATCTTCCAAAAGACTTCTTTTCTGAGGAAAAATACCAGGACAGCAGTAATCCCATCTCAGCTTGATGTCCTCTGCCAATGTTAATGAGAGAGATCAAAGCTGATAATGACACAATGCTTGGATATTGTGGACAAAAACATGTGCTATAGGTATATTAAAAGCCTCAGCTTCAAATTTCCTAAAGAAAGCCTACAAAATCTCATATGCATTCTGAGGGTCTGTGAAGCTATAGAAATGTCCTGCTTTATAACCTTCTCCAGTAGAACATTTTATTTTCCTTTTAATTTATCAAAATCTAATGACACTTTGACAGAGAAGAATATTTGTCTAATTTAAGGAAACACTGATCAGGTCAGCTTTGCTGTAAAACTGTTTATCACCTGCAAATTTCCAGCCATTCAAGTATCCAAGACTGCTTTAGAAAAGGACCTCAGGCATTATAATTTTACAAGAAATGAGTAACTGCTTGGAGAGTTTTGGAGAACAAATGGTTTGCTTCTAAGCAATCAAAGTGATGTTTTAGCTTCCCTAATGAGGTAGTTCCCTCAAGGAGCTGGAGAATACTGACACCAGATACTCCCTCTGTTGTTGCAGCAGATTCCTCTGGCATTGACAAATAGCCTATCTGAGCTAGCAAGGTCAGATGGACAGGAGCAGAACAAACAAGAGTGCCAAACCCAGAGCAGTCTGGTGCTCCTGGCATTCCTAAGCAGGTGGGAAGACGGCTGAACAGACATTTTTGTCATTTGGGACATTTGTACCTAGATCCCTGACAGGTGCTTCAGGCTTATTGTTTACTTTCTAGACACCAGGATGTGTCCAGGCACTGAGTTTATTCATGCAGAACAACCCTCTAAATCCAAGAATCCAGTGACACAGTATGAGCTAAGAGCTCTCCTACATGCAGTGGAGACAACAAAAAGTTGCAAAAGCAAAAATTGGCTCAGAGTGCCTTCAGGGAGGCATTAAATTCTGCTGGATTTAGAGGTCTCTGAAGGAGTGCTGCTATTAAAGGATCACCAAGCAGTGCTGCCCTGACAATGGGATCTTTGCTCCCCTTACATTTCAAGGGTTAGAGCAGAAACAGATAGGGCCAGCTTTCCTGAGTACATGGAGACTTTTGAGTGGCCAAACCCATCCTGCTGGAGCATCTCGGGTCCCTGTGTCCTCACAATTTAGCAGCTGGTCGCCAGAGCAGTTGACAGCCTCCATGCTTTCTGTGCAGTGACCCATTTGTGGAAGGGCTTATCCATATGGTAAATGGCTACTTTAATGTTACAGAACGTAGGAGTCCAGATTTTAAATAGTAATTAACAGTAATTAATACTCAAACCCTGTAGCATGCACAAAGCGTAGACAGACATGTTCAGAGGGCTGTGTTCTGGGCGGGACTGGGGAGCACAGAGAATTTCCCAGTGAGACTGGAGTTGCTGTGTTGGTGACTAGACACGCACAGCGTGAGCCACTCCTGCCCTGAAAGACTTTACTATCTACACAGACAAAGCAGATGAGGGAGAAGAAAAAGCACAGAGGTACAAAATAACTTCTCTGCCTGAAGTTACTCATCAGCCCACAATGGCACACTGTTCTCCTGAACGCTTAATGAACTATTTAACATGGATATTAAAAGCTTAAGTGGGGAGTCATTAGGGCTTTAAAAGGCCCCAGCCCAGATTTCTAAACAAGGCTATCTAGAAGGAAGCTCCCAGATTTGTAACCACGTGGCAACACGATCTGCCTCATGTTGAAAGATGCTGAGCTGCCCGGTGGCTCCAAAGCAGCCTGCCCTGGGGAACCCCTCCTCCCTGCCCAGGAAAGTCACCGAGCAGCCGCTCTGCCCTCGGCTTCGGGGCTCACACTGTTCTCCTGAACGCTTAATGAACTATTTAACATGGATATTAAAAGCTTAAGTGGGGAGTCATTAGGGCTTTAAAAGGCCCCAGCCCAGATTTCTAAACAAGGCTATCTAGAAGGAAGCTCCCAGATTTGTAACCACGTGGCAACACGATCTGCCTCATGTTGAAAGATGCTGAGCTGCCCGGTGGCTCCAAAGCAGCCTGCCCTGGGGAACCCCTCCTCTCTTTGCTGCTCCTGCCCAGGAAAGTCACCAGGGGCACCCAGGGGCTGCTGGCCCTGAAGCGGTGCCAGCCCTGCGGGCAGGGCAGCACCGACCTGGCTCCACTGCCAGCCGTGGGCATCGCCTGATGCCTGGCATCCCACTTGCCCGTTTTCACAGGTTTCATCCATTCATTCTCAACCTCTGCCGGTGTTTTTACCCATTATCCCTGATGATCACTCAGTTTTCACCAGATGATTTTTCTTCTCCCATCCTCTGAGAGGCAGGAAAGCATTTTGTTATTTTTAGGGATGGACTCATGTCTCTGATTGGGAAACCAGTATACAGAAAACAAAAGCAGAGTATTAAAGTTTTGAACAATACGAGGCTTTTTTATTCCAACCATTTTCACAACAGGCTTGATGAGTAAGGCTCCAGAATGCAATACATAAATGCCAAGAAATTGGATTTTCATTTCTGCTCTTTTTTTTTTTTTAATGAGAAATAGTCCCTAGGTTGTTTTGGAAAATGAATGCTGAAAGCTGGAAATCCTGATGGTAATTGATGTTTTTTCATTTCCACATGTGCATCTTTCTTGCAAACTATGTAGCATCAGCACAGTAAATATCCTTTATGTAATTTAAAAGTAAAATGCATCATGGAGCATGCTAATAGAGCTTGATGGTAATATCCTATAAACAGAAGCATGAGGGAGTCTGAAAAAATCCTGGGCCAATTTCTGCTCTTGGCTAAAATCCTACAATCCCCTTGAAGTCAGTGGCATTCTGGGCTTGCAAAGCAGAATTTGGACTCTAATTCTGCAAATCTCTGAATGTGGGCATTGCAATGGGAAGCTGGCATTGCTGCTCATGAAGGCCACTGCCAAATAACTGCTGGGCCAAATTTCCAGTAGGCCTGGGTAGCTGAAACTCCAGTTCATCCTGTTAGGCTAAGGCTTAGAACAGGGGTCAAAGTACCTGTGGATAAAAAAAAATCCAGTGAGACTCAGAATCAAATAAAATAAAATTTAAGATTCACTTGTTCAAGAGAACTGTGTGCTTATTTCTTTTGTATTTTTATAGTCTGTCTCTCAGGAAGCAGGAGCTGATTCTGCTCTCAATAAACCTACAGTGAAAATCTCAGCAGAGTCAGGAGCTACACACTGGGCCCCAAACAACAAGATTAGAACTGAAATGATGTTAGCACTTAACACCAAATCCAAAGCCCACTGATGTGAAGAAGAGTCTTCCCATTTTCCAGCTCTGAAGATAAATCTACCTCAAAATGAATACATTACTAAGATTCCTCTAGTGATATCTAAAGCTTTAGCAAAAGAAATAACAAGCCACTGTAGCAGAAGCAAACATAAAAGGAGGCAAAGGAAAAGGTCCTCTGTGTTAGCAGATAGATTAAATGGATTTGGGAGAAGTGAGTAAAAATCAGAAGAAACCTCTTTCAGAAAAATTGTGCCCATATTTTCTAAAGAACTATATGAATAGATAGTCCTTAAAACCATGAAAATAAGTTGTGCTGGGGAATGAAGGTGAGGGGAGCATTAATATATGAAAGCAGAGCTGAGTAATGCAGGTCAAGGCGAATAAACACCGTTCCAGTTGTGACGTTACAGAAGAGGAAGTAACGTTCACTGATTACCACTCACCATTTTGCCATGCATCATCAAATCACTGGCACAGCTGGGAAAAACCTTTCACCTGGGTGTTTCAGCTGGGACTAGGATCTCCTCCTAATTGTTTGGAGTTTCTTTTGGATTTCTCTGTCAGCAAAATCATGCCTGGTAGAATGAAGCTGTTCCATGAAGAACATCCCACTGAATACCAGGCTCCCTGCTTCAGGCAGTCCTGTGCCCTACTGAACATGTGTGACTCTTAAAAATAAAAACTATTTTGATCAACTTAAGGTGGAACAATACCCTCCAACTCTTCTGCAGTGGCCCACAGAAAACAGGCTTCTGCTTTCAGCTGCTGTTTCACAATCAGTACCTAGATCCTCAAATCAAAAAACTGAACACTATTACTTCAATATTATGCTTTTTATTCACAGTGAAACATGTCCATTTAATTTTTAAATGCATCCTTTATTCTACTCCAAGAATAAATCTGGTCATCTTGTTTGGGAATTTTCTTCCTCAGAGACAGCTTGACTACCAGCTTTTTTAAATGCAAATGACATAAAACTTTGTGTTCCCTGTTTTCCTAGAGGTTGTTTGCCTCTTCTGAGCTGTGGCAGCTTTTGAGTGTACCAAACATAGTGATTCTGAACGCCCCAAAAACCTCACTTACTCCAGCATTTTTGTACTGAGTTTTCTCTTTTGCGTCACCCGCAACTTGAGCAAGATCACATTTGAACATTCTGCTGCTCCCCCTTGACATCTGATGCCACAACTTAACATTTGTTGCACCATGTGTTGCTGGTCAGTAACTCCTGGCAGGAGGTGTCTGTCTTGTTCACTGTTTGCCTTTCCCTCGTATCGGCGCTGCTGTTCTGCCAGCTGCTGTGCTGGTCACTCCCAACTGCAGAGCAATCAGCTGGCCTTTTCCTGAACACTGAGGATGTTGTGCCCGACTATTCTGCATTTGTATTTCCAATGATGAGATGAAACTTGACACAAAGAAAACAGACCGAGAACAACCAGAGGGAATTAATTCAAGGTTTGAAAAAAATCATATTAAAAAGAGATGATCATGGAGAGGCTGGGAGGAATGCAATCATCACTCCCTGCAGCTCCTTATGATTACTGCCAAGACCATGAAAGTGCTCCAAATAACGTTGTGGTGAATGCTGTGATACCCACATGCAATGCAGGTCATCTTCTGCTCATGCAACCTGGCATTTGGAAAACCTATTGCATCAGCAAAGACAGCCAAGACTGAATAATCTCTACCAAAATAGCTGTAAAGCTATGTTAGTGCTTTCATGCTGGTTGCACCAGCATTTTCTAGTGTTGATCCAAGCTCTGATATTCAAAACAAACAAACAAAAAAGGTGTTTTCTTCCCTTTTAGCACTTTTTCCAGGTTTATACATCTACCTACTCAGCTCTCAACGTGGGTGATGGCAAGCTCCTAGCAATGAGAAGTCTGCTTGGATTTTATCTTTGCTGAAATCTTTATGTGTCCCTTTGCAATGCTTTGCTCAAAAAAAAAAAAAAACAAAACCCAAATTTTAAATCTCTTCACAGTACCCCTAAGAAATCAATGATCCTGATGGGTCCATTCCAGCTCAGTGTATTCCGTGATTGTATGAAATGGGAACATTTTACTCAGCTTCTCTGCACGACTGCACGCTTCTCCTTCCCTCCTCCAAAACTCTCTGCAAGCTCCACTCACCCCCTGGCAGCTGCTCCAGCCTTGGCCCGCTCCTCTCCCCTATCCACAGATAAAATTCTCCTTTCATTTGGCTTGTTTCACGTCCCTGGAATCCCGTACTCCTTATCTGCTTCAAGCCATCGAGCCACTCATCATCCTTAAATCTCACCTTTAAAACCTCCCTGCGTGCTAAGGGCTGTGACAAGCGGGGAGAATGTATTAAAAAAAAAAAAGTAACTATGTCTGTATACATCGGGCGTGAGGTGGAAATGGTGTGCATGTAAAGAAGCTGCAGTGGATTGCCTGAGAGCCCCACATGGAGAGAAGAAAACACAAAGAAGCAGGTGACATTATCGACAACAAGAGACTCCAAGGGCACCGCCGGGCACGGAAGGCGAGGGGCCTGTGAGGGACTGACCCCACAGGAAACGCCGCCAGGAGAGACCTTCCCCTGCACGGACCCGAAGGGCAGAGAGGGCAGCAGCGGGCGCATCCAGGGGTATTTTACAGCAAAATGAATTTATTTGTGGGGCAGGAGGGCGCCCGCCGCCGCCCCAGCAGCGCTGCCCGCTCGCCCTCCCGCCGCCGCGCTCGCCTCAGGTCACCCCTGCGGGCGGGGGGGACGCGGGGCGGGCCGCTGTCCCTTTAAATAGCATTCCGTGGTTCACGTCGCCGCCGTCGCCGTGCAATAATTACTCGCGGGCCGTGGCGCCGCCTCCCGCTCCCCGCGGCCTCCCCGCCTGCGCTCCGCCAATCAGCGCCCGCCCGCGTCACTCCGAGGGCAACGAAACACGGAGAAAGGGGAAAAAAAAGTTTGGTGCGGAGCGAGCGGGGCCGGCGGGGGGACGGCGGCCGCCCGCCCATTGGCCTCGGGGAGCGGCGGAGGGGCTGCGCGGAGGGCTCCCCCTTCGTGCCCCCGACCCCCGCAGGCAGCGGGCGAGGGGCTGCGGGGCGACGGCGGGCGCGGGGCCCGCGGCTCTTTCTCTGCCTTTTTTGGTGGTTCCGTCCTCGTCTCCCCACCCCCGGCGGGCGGCTGCGTGCGCAGGAGCCATCCCGGGGCAGAGGTGTTTGTACTCGTGTCCTTGGGTGGAAGGGAGAGGCAGAGCCGGCCCTCCGCCAGCGCTGCGCCGGCCGGGCCCGGCCCCGCGCCCTCCGCACGGCCCGCGGGGCCGAGACCCTGCCCGGCCCCGGCTGCCCCGGCCCGGAGCGGGCCCCGCCGCCCCTCGGCGAGCCCGGTGCCGCGGGCTTGGTTGGCTGCTGTGGGCACGGGGGTGCTCGGCAGGAACGAGCGCTTTGTGTTGTGCCGCCCTTCTGGTTAAGGGTTATTGCTTGTAAAGTCTGTCGTACTTTGGCGTTTTGCGTTGTGAAAAGTTATTGTTGTTGTTTTGGTGTTCGCCTAGGAGGCCTGTGAGGTTTAGCCCAATTTGCCTCCTAGGCTTTGCCAAAAGCCTGGAGTGATAGATAAAGGGTGTGAACATCCACTCGTGTTTCCACAGGATGTTGGGATTGGGTAACCTTAGAAAATAAAAAGGGCAGTTACCTTACTGCTGATAACAACAGCAGCGCCGACGAAATACAGAAACTTCCACCGCATGCGCTGGTGTAATGTGGAGGCATTCAGCAAAACCGTGGTGGTTACTTCACCCCCTGCATGGATTGACTTCAAGTGCACCGTTGTGTTCTGAAGTCCATTCCCGAGTGTTTGTCCAGGCTTGTCCTTTACTAGGTGTCATTGCATAAGAGTTACAGGGAGCAAAGAGCGTGCCGAGTTTCTTTCACTCTTCTAAGGTTCTGTGCTCACATCTTAACTGTGCCAAACTTTACACTGAAAAGAGAAGGGCACAGCTTGGTAAGCTGCCCTGTGAACTTCAGTGGAAAAAAAAAAATATTCTCTTTCTCCTCCTACTTACAAGTAAATATTTTTGTTTGTCTTGTGTCGTCTTAAATAATTTTTTGCACAGAGTGCTAATCCTTCTGAACTGTGGATGATGGTAAGTCAACAACTCAGGAAGTAAATATGTCAATTCATTCCTTTGTCTCTTTCTTGTCTGTCGTCTAACTTTTACAGCTTTACTCTGTGAATTTTATCTGATTTGTTTTTGTTATGCTGAGGTACCTGTTCTTTACTATCATCCAACTTTTAGAACAAAGGGACTGGCTCTTCTCTGATCTGTCTTGCAGGCCAAAATAAACGTATAATGGGAGGATTTTTGTTCCTTATGGTGCTGAATAGCAAGGTCTCTGACATGTCAGTGGCGTAATTCCTTGGGTTTATTTGCGGATAGAGAAGAAGATAATCTTCACTAGTGGGAAAACTGTCTCCTGCATATGTTCATAGAATACCTCTTGAAATGTTTGTCTTAAAAACCTGTGAATCATGTTAAATTTATTTTAATCTGTTACTATTTAACTTCTTGACTAATCATGAATTTATGGCAAAAATTAACAGCATTGTATATGACATAGTATACTTACAAGAGTGTGATTGAAGAATGTAAGTTTACATTTCAACTTCTGGTTACTTCAGGGTCTCAGATGGTACAATCAAAACCTTACACAAATAGCTTGAAAGAGATAGTGGCAAGTTATCAGAGGGAGAGTAACATTAACACAAACTACTGAAAAGTTGCTATGGTTACAGATAAAGGTAATCCCTGTTTCTGTGAAAGTGTGTCGTTTTGTAACAGCTATATTAATCAGTCTGATTTCTGAGAAATTTGGAAGTATGCAAACTTCTGGCTCCATTTTCTTGGCAGTTAATTGCTATGCACTTTTTTTTTTTTAATACTGAATGGGCTGTGACTAATATTCAGGATACATCATTTGACCTACAAAGATTATTATAGATTACGTATAAATGCACTTGGACTATGCTGAATTCAGTGGACACTGTAGTATACTTATTTGTGCTCCACCCAAGAGATACCTGATATCAAGGAAGTGTCTTTTAAAATGTCTAGGTCCTTTTTCAAAGACTTTGGCTGAAGCAAGTGATGTAGCCCTCTGTCATCAGAGACCTTGGTTGTGCAGCTGTACAAGATACAATTCTGTGTTCTCATTAAAAGAAACGCCCAACCAAATCACACACCCCCCCCCCAAAAAACCCAACAACCCCAAAGCAAACCCAGATGGCAGCTGCTGAGAAATTGAGATCTGTTAAGAATGTCCAGCTTTATAGGCCAGCAGGCCACAGGGCAGGAACAGATGATTCTGTTAAGGGTTTATTGCCTACATAG